TAGAACATATAACAATTTGGTATAAATTATCCCAACATAAGAATATTTTATCGTTTTAGTGAGCAAATACATAACTTGTTTGTATATGTTTCATAAACACGCCATTAAACAGGTGAAGACATATTTTGTCAATTCTCTTATGGCAATTGGTGCATATTACACTTTACAGAACATTAATTCACGGGTTCTATTGTATTTTTGTTGTTGTATTGATTATTTTTATAATATTGCTGTTAAACCATATTTTCATGCATTTTGAAACGGGTGCCATAGGAATATGCCCGGAAATTGAGTCGTTGGTTTGAATAGGTGGGCGCCACCATCGATGTCAGGGCGACAACTGGAAAATTCTGGAAATGCAATCAACAACAGGTGCTTGACAACGACTACTGGAACCTTTCCACTACCACGTAACCAAATCAACCTATATAAATACCTCCCTCGCACACTGTATTCTCAATCATTCTCACGTCCTATAGCTTCATATATGCTTCGATGCAAAGTGCTACGAAAAGCCACAATTTGAGCAAAATGAGTCGACGGAACGCACTACCCGATATCTTCGAGGACATTCACGACGGGAGAATAAAAAGGATACAAGATTGCCGTTTAGCGAGAAGTCGACTATGTGCCTACGTTTCAAGTCCGCATTTCAGAAGGAGACGTAACGCAATAACGGTGATAAAGGTCGTATACAGCGCTGGGAAAAAATACCTAACAAACTGCCTCAGTTCGAAGTGGATGATGGATTCAATAACAACATGCTTCTGGCTTGTGTTGGTACATGACCTAACAATGTTATTTTATATTGTTTATTTATTTTATATTGTTGTTTTATAAATAACATTTGCATTGCAAGAATGGTCAAACCGTTGAAGGCTTAGTTCTCAGACAGATGCCGGGGACAGATGGCTCAGTTTTCGGATGCGAGAAAATCGTGTATTTAGTGAATGTTTTCATTCTCGTGTTGCTGTGCTGTCTTTTATTTTTAATGTTCATGTGATAAGGCAGCGATGGGACAATTGTGTATTCTAGCGGAGTGAAGTGTTTTCCGAAAGCGCCGTATCCCATAACATATGGCAGTGATAGAGGTTGAACTACGAGAACGACCTTCAAACTTCATCGTATACGCATGTGTGTCACGTGATAATGCATTTACAGTCCAACATGGCGACGAAGATCCATACGCAAAAGACGCAGCAGATGAGTATTTCCAGTTATCACGTGACCATAACATTGAATATGCACGATGAACTTCAGGATCAGTCTATTTTGATGAAGAAATTGAAACAAACCACATTGACAATTGCTCTCAACTCACTCATTATTAAGACAGACTTTATGAACATGAGAATAAGCAGTGTGTCGTCACAAGGAAAACCGCTTATCAGAGGTTTTGTATACGGCTAAGAAAATTAAATATTCTGAAAAATTAAATGGTGCATAACAAACCAACCATTTTTTTTCTATTGCCCCTCAATTGAAACAACGTTTGATATATAGTTAATTTTTTAATACTTTGCTATATCCATACTACATACGTATTTTATTTAATTTCTCGAAAATGTGTACCATTAAACATTTTTTTAATAGACATCTTATTCTTTTTTGAAGAAACAGCAGTGTGTGTGTGTTTATATTTCCGGCAAATTTAAAGGGCGATTGTCGTCGCTCCGCGCAAGTGCGACATTTGTGTTGATAAACATTATTGATTTTTCCCACAATCCACGCATAGGAGTTTTTGACCTGTGTCCAAACATCCAAAAGAGTAATATACTGTAAAACATATTTAAATGGCTACATACCATTTTTAGAGAATTTGACTCCATGCACGAATTAACTGAATCTTAATTTAGCTAAAGTACCAATAATCTCATTGTGAGAATATACTTTATTTTAAATTATCGACATCTTGAATTAGCGAAATTACAGATTAGCTAAATTAGCTAAAATAACATGCTAGCTAAAAAGAGTAGTTAACCAACAGTAGTTAATGCTTAGTAACGTCTCGGTTTGTAATTGTCGCCATTTTTGTAAATATGGGTTCCATATCTTGCGCATGCATTGCGCGAAGACCGTGGTCTCAACATATCAAACAAAGAAAGATAAGAGTCTTTCTCGATGTGGCAAAATAGAGTTTTTCAGTCTACACACACACGGCACGCAGCATGAGTACCGTTATTCACGAATGTTAACAGTGGCTGCATGAATTCAACACAAAATTTGTCAAAACCATATAATACCTGATACGATGGTCGAGAAGTCTCATCCAAATTCGGATTCCAAAACTTTAAAAAATCGAATAAAAAAAAAACCAATAAAATGCAGAGGGCGATATTTGAACATGTGCTTGTTGGTGACTATTAGGAAATTTTAAAACAAAATCAGAAACACTAACATATTGAGGGCGTTATATGAAAACACGCGTGTTATATCTATTTGGTGACTGTATCAGGGCATTTTCGACTAAGATAAGTGGTATCTTGAACATGACAGAGGTATCGATGACACAAATATATCAGCAGTGTGAAAAATGAGATATTGTCAGATATTGTTACTTGAATCATGATGTAAATTAAAAGGCTTGAACCCACAATAATAAACTACGGCACGTATCATAAATCGTACAGAAAAGGTGACGGGAGTAGGTCTATAGCCTCCCCAGCATTCTGATTTATGTGTATCCCTTTAGTATCGACAATTTCACACATCTGGATATTATGCACCACGACCCTTACAGTGTGAATGTATGTTGGTGACGTTTAGTTGCTATGGTTATTCGGTGCCACGAGTACGACGCATGCTCATTAGGTAGAATCACTAGAATTCTTCTAGTAGTAACTGTGGCAGAATAGAATTAAAGGATGTCAACTTGACACCACGAAATGTTTAGTATAATAAACGCATTTAATTTTTTTTTATTGAAGTCTGTCTGACATTGTAATGCATAATTTTGTGCTGCTTTGTCATGGTTCAATTTCCATTGAAACTCCCGTATTTTAGTGCCGACGGTTAAATCAAAGGCAGTTCATAACCTTCCACATTTCATTTGGATTTGGTTTTCCAAGAATTCTGTGAATTTAATTTCTGAGCGACGGGAGCAAAGAATTTATTAATGATACCAAGTGTCACCAATTTGGCTGTACAATGATTTAAATGAAGATAAGAATTATTAAAGGGCAGTAGTCGTCTCGCCACGCATGCACGATATTTATATGTCACATATAAACAAAGATGGCGACTTTGGCTGTTGAACAGATCAACGAGTACAAACTGACACGTTAGAAAGCTTTAATTAGGTATTTTTAGGTGATCGGAAGTTATCGAAAGAGTCACCGGCGGTAATTAGTACAAGTCGCGCACAGGTCAAACCTCATACTTGTGATTTCCATGAAGAGCGCATTGGATTGTTGGAAAATCAATGTTTATCAACACAAATGTTGCACATGCGCGGTGCGACTACCGCCCTTTAAATCGAAAACTAATATATTGTTCATGTTCTTTAATATCAAACTTTGTCATGTTAATAATATGCCATACCATTCAAGGAAGACAATGCATGTCGCATTTCTACTGACGAATTCTCTCTATTCTAAAATATTTCCGTTAGCGTTAAAAAAAAGATGACTCACAAACTGTATACCTGCCCGCATAAACTCTTCATAAAAATATTTTTGCCTGCAATTTTGATGATTCCAAATGTACAGATTGAGATAATAGTTCCTTGAGGTGTTGCGAATAGAGCGTTGTGTTCAGGGAACTTTGACTCGCTTGGCAGATAACAATCACACAGAGATACCAGGTTCGACCAAAAGAAATAAACATTAGTTCATTACAGATATATTATCATTACAATTATCGCTAACATTAACGTTATAATATCAGTAAAAGGAAAATTGCAAAGTGATCACATGACAAAAAGCGTATAATAAGCGCAATTCACGTGGTACACTTATCTTGTTGACAGCATGCTTACGGCTACACGTGGAGACAAAATTGTGATATCGAATACTCCAATTTCTACATAGAAAATATGCGCTCAAGACCAACAACTGACCTGCATGAGTTCAAACAAGATGAATGGGATTCAATACAGCTAACAATAGAACCAAAGGAATCGGCGGTTCGCATGCGATGCTTGAAATCTATTGGCAATAATATAAAACATATGCAAGAAGAAGAACGAGTATACGAGTACAAACACAACAAAATATAATACTACTGCATGATATGGGGCGCCGGATACATAACTAAAGTTACAAGGGTATCAAATAATATACGTCAAACCAATATACAGTATGATGAATACAGTTCTACCAAAGACCATTAAAAAGAAGAAACCAACACATAATCACATCAGCAATGAAGATAGTCAACACACATTATTCTACCTTCGAATCAAGGAGTGCTAAGCCTCAACATAGAAGATACACTATTTCTAATAATACATGATGACATGGTACGAGAAGGAAGACAGAAATAACATAACACAAATAAAATAAAATAATAAAATTGAAAGAAAGCAGAGAAGTGATGTTTCCGTCTAAACCAATAGCTCACACACCGATAGAAGATGAACATCAGAAAGAAGAACACCACGAACAAATATGGATTATCAAACTGGAAAGATCGAACACACCAAAAATAAACGACAGAAGGTATTATTTCGTACTAAATTAGAACCAGAACACAAGGTGTGGATATATGTATATATATACGCCAAGATCATAAAGGGTCGAACAAAAACAAAAACAAAAACTAAATGAACATATGTGTTTCATTACAGTGACAAATAATAATCGCGTCCAATAACGACTGAAAACTACGTCTAAGGGCGAACGTGTATGTACGTACACCTGCAGGTAACCGCAAATAATAGTGTCAACAACGAAAGCTGCCAAGCACTACGTTTTGCTAGAAATCAGTTATGTATGACCTTTGACCTCACCATGTCAGGTGACTTTATGTAAATAAAGCGAACATTCTGTTTCTATGCGACCGCGCCATCTTGGAAGCCACTGTGATAAAGTCTCGACTGTATTTCATCGAATTGTATACCGAATTTAATCTTTAAAATGCCAGGCGAAGCCCACAAAATACCCCAGGTTAGTTCTTGAACTTGGTGACAATGATTTTTTGTAATTATTGCTTTGATATGAATGTAAATACAGTGAAAAACTCGATCATCAATTCAATGTTTACCTTTTGAAATTCGACGGAGTTATCACAAATAGTTCGTTTTAATCTTCTTATTCGTCTGTTTTTACAGCCCCGACAACACAGAGCAAAGGTGTGCATTTGGTGAGTATGCTCTACTGATTTATAAAATTCAATATCCATCTTATTTTATTGTATCCGTCTGATGTTGACCACGTAGCCGGCCAAGCTACTAGTAGATACTAGTACTCCTCGCTCTTCCGACTCAGTTGACAGTAGTGCCCGGTACATCATCAATTTCAGATATAGTACAATAAATAAACTTCGCCAGATTGCTGTGTAACTGTGAATGCATGCTGAATTGACTGAGAATAGATAGAATGTGCAGGTGTGCTCTATCGTAACGTTACTGTGTGTGGTTTGAGCACAATTTCGTGTGTGCAAAACAAATCTTTTTAGCTCCATGCCCAAAGTAAGCTGTATTTTTGTTTATCAATCAATTTCACTGTCAGCCTTCCTAATGATACTTTAAATACAGATAGTATCAATAGTGAAAATCGACATACAAAAATTTAAACTACAAAACATAACTTGTCATCTGATATTCAAATGTCAATACTACCGGTAATAAAGTATGAAATGATATGATTGAAAACAAAATAATTAAATACTATTATTTTTCCCGCAGGGATGATTTAACAGTACATCAGATGGACGTAATATCAAAGACAGATTCCAATGAGGATATTAAAGGGTGAGGACCAGTAAACATATTAGAAATATGATTTTCTCTAATATGGAGTTACTAGATACATTATTTTTTTCAGATTAAGTGAAAAATGTGTGTGGTTTAATTTACTGTCAATTATTTCAAATAAACATCATACAAATTTCTAATTTTGTGCACAGGAAAGGAATTATTTTAGTTTAAATATTTTGGTTGATAGTAATTCATGAGATTTTTTAATTCATGAGATTTTCACAGTTAAAACTCCCTCAGTGCACATTGCATGGTAAAACACTGTTTCAATTAACTAAACTATTTAGACTGGCCCTGCGTTGGCAATTTTCATTTTTTATGTGATATTTTTTTTTTTTAAATCTCAGTTGGACAGTCTATTTTTTGACTCATTCATTTCTTCTAATTTTACATGATATCTGCAACATTATAAAATCTAGCTATGGAACACTTCCAAAAATAGATAGTTGATCTAATAGTTGTATGCGTCAGGGTTGCATAGAACAAGTCAAACCGAAAGCTTATTGGTTAGCAACTTACAATTACGCTATTTATTAGCTTAAAACCTATGTGAAAACGTAGTGCTTGCTTGCTGTGTGTGGCAGAATAGACCAGCCATGGAAATTCCAGGTTAACACCAGAGATTTTTACAAATTTGTTTTTAATTATCATATAAAACAATCAAATTACTATGATCTAGGGTCAAATGTAGATTTGCCTTTCATCTATCGTAACAAATATGAATTATCCAGTTAGACAAGATTTGTATTAATAGTGACCTTTTGATCAATATTTACTATACACTTTTTATAAACAATGATTTAAAGACCATTTTGACCAATTCAAATGATTGCATATTTGACCCCATCGTCTAGTCAAAGTTATTGGGTATGTACTCTTTACATGTATTGAAATGGTAACAGGGGACATACTTACAACCACAGCTCCTCGTTTTGATTTGATTTGAAAAAAAAACACCTTTTTTTTATGAATGTTGCGGTGGTCGTCGCTCCACATTCTGTTCAATATCAGTCTTATAGCCTCATATGTAATGTGTGTACATTGCTTGTTTATGCTAAATTTTAACATGTGCTGCACGACTACCACCCTTAAATAAAATGGGAAAGCATAATATTGGTAACTTATTGTGTACGGTTATAGAGAGTACATATTTTTGTCACATTTGTAACTTACGCCATAATCTACATTTCTTTTAGCATTCTCTGTGAGATATTTGGGCTAGACGATTACTCCCAGAATCCTCGGTCAGCCATCTTGGTTGATCTGTATTTCTTTACTATCCAGTACGCCAGGGAGAACGGTTTTAGTAAGGAACAAACTGCTGCTTTTTTCTCGATTGTCAGAAAGACTCATGAAATGATGATTGGTAAGTTAAATATTACATTGCAAAGAAATAAATTGTACATGCAAACAAACAAACAAACAAATATTACAACATGAAATACAGAATTCAAACTCACGATCACGATAACCGTCTTGCCACTACCCAAACTTGTTTCTCCATGGCAATATTGAATTTGGGATTTCCTCCATAGCGTTAAGCCCTTATTATTACTTATTTTTGTTTTTGGTACCTAACATTCAGGATATTGCCATATGGAAATAAATTTTATATACACGTTAACTTGCAACTGAAGTGGAAATCAAGCACAGTTAAAGCACCCAACCATTACGCAACATTTTTTTTGTATTTTTATTTACACAAGCAAAGTATATGGTACATATCAAACATGACCCAAAATGAACTGCTGTAATCTACGAGTATTTCTAAATAGAAAATTCCAATCTGATGAATTTCTGATGCAGGCTTTTTATTTTCGGCCCTCCATTATACGTCTATTGGTGATCATTATTAAAAGTGACCAGAGTATATATTTACATTACCGGGTAGATTGAGGAAATCCTAGTTTATACTGTTAATGTTAATCCTATTGTGAAATAATTTGGTTCATCTGAAAATAGATAGAGATCATTTTAAGAATTCATCCACACATTCTGTTGCTGTGATAAATTTCAACGTGTTTCTCTCTTCATTCTTAGAATCTCCTTTTGGTAATGTAGAATTGTGTTATGGTTATTTTAAGGAGCTAGTTTTATGTCATGCAGTCAAGGTAGGTGTATATCCTAAATGTCATTTTCTAGGTCTTGAACTTTGGAGCTGTTCACCCAATTTCAAGTCCAAATTTGATAAAATATTGAAAGGCATCAAAGCATACATATTGGGTATTGCCTTTGATTCTTAATTGATTCTTAAAACATGGCAAATGATAGCAGTCGCTTGTATGAATGTTGGTTCACCTAGTAAAAAGAAAGACGTACAAACGAGAAACTAAAATACAACATTCAAACTGAACAATTTATGACATAATGAATACTTGCTTGAAACTGAATGCAGCAAAACATATTAAATTCACTCTGACATTGACCAACCTCACAGGGGAGGGTGGGTTCGAGAATTTGCAAATTACATTCGCAAATAATAAATAACATTGTAAACAGGTACAACTGATTAAGCTACAACACACGGCAAATGTGATATCCCAGAGTTCAATGCGTTTTGTACCATCCAATATACACTTTATCTCCGCACGAGGGCGCAATTTCAAATTGAAAGAAAAACTAGCATACACGCTATTACCATTCTATGACCTCAATTGACCCACCAGCCTCATTCCCAACTTGATACTGGAATTCTCATTTT